AATCGGTTGCAGAAAACCAGGAAAACAAGCGACAAAGAGACTTCAACTCTGAACTGCTGAGACTGAGACAACACTGGAAGCTGAGAAAAGTGGGAGACAAAATTCTTGGTGATCTGAGCTACAGAAGTGCAGGTAAACAATAGGGTCTTTTTCACAAGAATGTATATATTATGAAATTTGCTTTTTGTAACTGGAAAAAACAGATAGAATATCTAATAATAGATTATTTCAATATAAGTTTATTATAATTTTGAGAGAGGATTATAAAACTCCTGTTTTATTATCAGGAAAAATATATTGCCATCCTCAACCTAGAAAGTACTTTTAAAGGCTCACTGTGTAGGATTTTAGTAAGGATTTCTTTACGGAAACAATTTGGCATTGACAATGTAGTTGATCAGTTGACAGGGAGACCTTATTAAGTCTTTGGCTTTTATCTACATTTGGTCTCTAAAGCATTTAAAAAAAGATGAGAAGTGTGTTACATTTTCTTCTGAGTGAAGATCATAGAATATCTCGAGTTGGAAGGGATTATCAAGTCTAACTCCCTGCTCCTCAGAATTCAGACTAAATAAAACTAAACCATGTGACTAAAGGTTGTCATCAAAGATAGATTTATTATACCTATTATTCCTACACTTGAGAGACATGATACTGAGAATATGCCTTATTTCATGGATAAGACAGTAAGAGAGGGTGACCAGAGAGACCAGGGTATTAAAGGCCATGATGGAGTGACAAAGTGAATACAGAATCCCATGGAATTTAAGATATAGCTACAAAGCAGGCATCAGAACTGGGTGTGTTGGGTTTCTGTTGTCATCAGTGAAGGAGGGGAAGGACAAATTTGGGGTTGTTCGTGTTTCTTTTATTTTTCCTCTTTCCTTGCATCTATTGACACCATTTTGAAACAGTTGGTTTTCCCTTGTAATTATTAAATACTCCATGCTAATTTACTGTAAAACATTACATGTTGCATACTGGAGGACTGAGATACTGATGTGCTGAAATTAGCTTTCTAATTTATCTGGGTTTTTTTAAGAAGTCATTGAGAAATATGAGTAAAGTGCACCTCTGGAGGTTTGGAGACTTGGAAATACATATTCTTCCAAAATAAAGGAATGAGGGTTTTTTTATTTGCAGAAGTTGCTTTATGTTTAGTATGTATGTCTTTGCCCTTCTTTTCTCAGGCTCTCTTTTTCTTCATCATGGCACATTTGAGGTGATAAAGAACACTGACATTGACCTGGATAAAAAGATACCTGAGGATTACTGTCCTTTGGATGTTCAAATTCCAAGTGATTTAGAGGGATCAGCGTATATCAAGGTTTGTCAGAGAAACTGTAATAACGTAGCATGAGTTTTGTTTCAGTATGTGTATGCTTGCAACAGAACAAACACCAAATAATGTTCTCTCTTGCCTAGGTTTCTATTCAGAAACAAGCTCCAGACATTGGTGACCTCGGGACAGTCAATCTCTTTAAAAGACCCTTGCCAAAATCAAAACCAGGTATTTTGTTTTGTGAGCATGTTCTCAAGAACTGGGTTTGAGTATGATGCTTGTTTGAAAATCATAGCATATAGCTTAGGAGAAGAGTGAACAAGAATATCCTCATTTAAACTGAAATTTTCTGTTTAGGTGCTGCTTGGGCTTTGAAAACGTGATGCTTTCAAAGCACGCTCCTTCAGTTTTTCAGGTGTTTATTCAGTTCTGAAACAAAAGTATGGGAGTTGTATTTCAAGTATTCTGGAGCACCTTCTGTTAGTCATTAAAAGTTTGAGCACATCACCAAAATCAATCCAAGGTATTGTGTTTCAGCCAGTTACATCCCATAGTTCAGCTGAACTGTATGACTGTTCACTCTTAACTTTGCCCAAAATGCATTACTTGTGTCTATGGCTCATATGTTTTATCTGGATCTGAAACTGTGATGGCAGTCTGTGCGTTAATTACTGACAGCCCACCTGGCAGAGAGTAGATTGATTCATTTGATATGTGCTGGTATTTGAAGTTGTAAACTATTGGGATTAAAAATTCATCCTTTACTCTTTGGGGTTAAAAATAAACTGGCAGGATTTCATTTCACAGTGGTCTGTGACACAGATGCTCATGCTGTCCGGAACATAGACAGAGTGCTGTACTATGGAAGTGTTTCATATGGTACTCAGGATACATTATAGAGCTTGTGTACTTACACCAGAATCTCCCAAGAATTTTGGGCCTATAAATCCTGTGAAAGCACATACATGAACTGAATATTATTTGATAGTTCATTATAGAGTGAATTTAATAAAGCTGGAAGTATCATTGAAAGTAAATTGCAACTTAGGAAGCAGAGGTTTCTAAGCAGAGTTCACAAAAGGCCTGGGAGCGTAATACGTGGTTCCAGAAGGGCCTTTCACTTCGCAACATACATATATGTTAAATTGAATGAAAATGCATTAGTGTTACCTTAAAGTGCTTGCTTAATTGAGATAAAATTCTGATAATACTCAGTTTGGCTATAAGGTACTGACTGCTTTATCTTAGCAATTGTGCCTAGCCTACTGCACAGTGTCTGGTATCTGAAAAGAAAGGTGGCTTCTCTTTACTCTTTTCTTCTGGAAACATTGATTTGTATTTTTCAGGTTCTCCGCACTGGCAGACAAAGTTGGAGACTGCGCAGAATGTTCTTTTGTGTAAAGAAATTTTTGCCCAGCTGTCACGAGAAGCTGTTCAAATTAAATCACAGATTCCTCACATTGTTGTGAAAAATCAGATAATCTCCCAGCCTTTCCCAGGTAGGAAACTTTCCAAGACTTTTTAGCAATTATTTGCTTAAACGTGAATTGCAATTCCTGATTGACGTGACCTTTTTTAGTGCTCTGTTCTTAAAAAACAGACTCCTTGGTTTTCAGAGGTTTTGAAAACCAGAATTTCACAGAGTTAGAATTTTGTTTCCTAATTATAGAAAAATTCAACTTATGTACTTTAGTTTCTAATTTACTCTGTTTTCCTTTGTGGTTATGTTTTTTGTCAGCAGCACTCAAAACTGTCCACTGTAATGCCATGTGCACATGCCAGTTTGGAGCTGTGCATAGGTCATTGCTCCTGGATTGCACACAAGTGAAATTTAAGGCTTGAGTTAATGGGTCTTCAGAAGAACAAAGGCTAAAGCTCTTCAATGAGGATAATTAAACAGCATGAGGGTGGCTCTGAGTCAGCTGCTGAATCCTCTGTTCTTACAGGGGGTACACAACTGATTGTATCATGTGAAGAATATATTTCTGGATTGCTTAAAATGTGCACGATGGTAAATCATTCCTTCTTTGGGGAAGGAATGGGGTCCTGAGGACTTTTCTTTTTGTGTGGGAGTCATAGAAATTGGTGAGAAATGCAGCTAGTGAGTTCATAGCTGGCCTGTCAACACTTCAGTGAGTAGCAAGTCTTACTTGCCTTTGGTGCTGTGCTCTCCACCACCATTCTTTGATTTTTCTCTGATACGGTGAATTCTCGTTGCTAAACTACTCCTATAAAGCGTGAAGAAAAGTAGTTCTCAGTAGCAACCTTGACAATTGTTAGTGCTCTCTTTTGGTTTTTTCTTCCCATCTGTTTTGTACAGGTTTGCAGTTGTCTATCTCTCTGTGCCACTCTTCCAATGACAAAAAGTCACAAAAGGCTGCTTCTGAGAAACAGAATCCAGAGGATCATCTCTATGTTCTGGAACATAATTTGCATCAACTTATCAGAGAGGTAATAAATGCATTTATGGTCAAACAGTGAACAGTTTTTGGGCATTTGTTGTCTTTTGCCTGGTGTGCGGCACTGATGTAACAGCCGAGTGCCGCTAGAGGCCAGTCTCTTCCCATCCATTTGTATAAGGCAACCTATTGCTCGGTTTCAATGGGTGTGGGTGGTTCAGTAGTTCCACTTCATGCTTTCATGGAATGCTAGTTCTTTACTTAACCTCAGGCCTGGCTGCTCACTTCAGAATAGTCATGCAAAGCTTTTCCACTAGAGCTCATCAGTCTCCCTTTTTGCATTGTGTCTGATTAATGCTTGGCAAGCACTGTAAGGGAGCATCTAGTCAGACTGTATCCCCATGAAGGAAGAACAATCAATTATTGTAATAGCTTTGCTTCTTTTAAGATCCACTTCTCTGCTTCAGTGTTTAATATTCTTGTATAATCTAGCAGAATGACCTAGGGTAGAAAGTTGAGGTTGCGTCTGTTCAGGAAAGGAGCGCAATTTTGCATGTCTGAGCAGAGTTGAAACCATATTCCAGTGAGTGTTCATCTCTTAGAGCATGGCTCTGCAAGTCATGCAGCCATGTGGAATAGTCCAGTGTTTTAAATGCTGATTTAGGTTTCATGGAGCTTTGGCTCAGTGCCCAGCTCTGCTGTGAATTTCCTTTCTTTACTTTGGACAGGTTGCTAAAACTTTTTGTACCTCAGTTTTTTTTTCCTCTACAATGCTTCCTTTGTTTTTACTTGACCATTCTTTCTGTCTCCAGAGATGTATTAAAGGCACGGTTCCAAATTTTGGTTAGCTAGCACTTTTCAAAAAGAAAAAAAAAATCACTTTCCATAAGTTTTGACAGACACACATAAAGTTGGCTTTGAAATGCTGTCAGGTTTCTAAAGTTAAAATGTTGCACTGTTGAAAGTATGTAAACTTAAAAAACCTGATGTGAAGCAGCATATTGTATGTGTAGTATTTCTTGCAGATACGTTATTTGGTCACTTCATTTTATAACATCTGTTGTTTGTTTCAGTGTCACAAGCAAACCCTGAGCTCGACAGTAATGCCACATCCAGCTAGTGCACCTTTTGGCCATAAGAGAATGAGACTTGCAGGACCCCAGGCTTTTGATAAAAATGATATCAGTTGTCTACAGTCGAATGAAGGACTTCTGGAAAAGATAATAAAACAGGCAAAACATATCTTTCTGAGACGCAGGTAGGTCACATGCTCTTCTTGTTTAAAGTTACAATAAAACGTACCATTAAGTAGAATGCAATTGATCTTTTTTAAGTGTTCTTAAAATTAGGCACTGTTTCCTTCACAGTTAAAATAGTCTTTATTTGCAAGTACTAAGAAACAATAATATACGATAAAATACGAGCAAACAATACTCAGCTAGTAAAAAAAAAAAGTCAGATTTTTTTGAGATTGCTGTGACAGTTAGGACATACGCTGCTGATAATTGTCCCTACTTATCTTAAACTGCATAAAATATCTTTTTCCATATTCTTTGCAATGCAATAGTTGATACTGAGTAATACCGCTTTAATATGGCTGCTGAATGCTTGAGAAATGTACATAATAAACAAGTGGCCTTCATTAGCACCAGAATGGTGCTGAAATAGAGCTTTGATCCACATGGTTCCCTTAAATGGAATAACCTGCTCAGTTCCTTTAAACAAGAGAACAGCACAAACTGTCTAGATCATTGTGTGTGGGATATGGCTTTATCTTCTAGAACTGCTCGAACCATTGACAGTCTGGCGAGTCGTATTGAGGATCCTCAGATTCAGGCTCACTGGTCCAATATAAATGATGTTTATGAATCCAGTGTTAAAGTTCTAATAACTTCTCAAGGATATGAGCAGATCTGCAAGTAAGTATGAGAATGCATGTCTCTCTTTACTGGTAGAAGCATGCAGCAGAGAATGTGTATCCAAGTTGTGCTTTAAAGGTTTAGATTCTTCTCAGACAGACAAGTAGGAGTCCATTATTTGTGTGTGTCTGTTTGTCTGAGTTGTGGGGTGAGCAGCCACCCTAAGAAAACTCTTCACCCACTTTGCACTTTAATGAAGAAATGTATTACATCTTTAATTAGCACAGTTTCCTTTCAAAGAAGAAAATAGAAACGAGAGTGGCCATTTAAGGGATTTACTTTTGGTAGAGATGACTGAATACAAAGTATCATTTGATATGCTGGATTCTAAACTTCCAGGCTCCTTATGGAAAGCTAATCAGTCCTCAGTCCTAGCTTGGTTGTATAGGTACTGAAATGTGGAATTCGTGTAATTCATGCAATTAGTTATGCACATTGGTATCAAAATAAGTAATGTCGTATTCCAGAAACAAATGTCTGGATGCTGACCAGCAGTACATTAACTAAATGCATTGACAGTGGTTTTTTTACATTTGGAGCAGTGTTCTGTGTGCACAGTGTGGGGCAAACTGCTGTCACTGGTGCAATTGCCAGTCTTGGTTCCAGAATGCATATGCTGCCCAAGTCTTGGCTGTAGTATAGAACACACCATTTTCCCTGCACCTCTGGAAGGAAACTTGGGCAACAGTGGCAGGCAGGGAACTGTGAGGCTTCCTTGACCTGAACAAGCAGTGGGACAGGTCTGGGAACACGCCACAGAGTATGTCCCCTGCAGTATAGAGGGAGCTGTTGTGGTGAGTGATGAAACTGAAATGGTTGGAGTTGCTGTCACATTCCGTAGGCTTTGCACCATCCATCTTGAGAGTTCTTGTCAATGACTGGGGGGATTCTGTGTTCTTAGTTTCCTATTTTCTTTACTGTTGTAGTGCATTTTGAATAAATATGCCTCTTATCTTCAAAGATCCATTCAGCTACAGCTGAACATTGGAGTTGAACAAATCAGAGTTGTGCATAGAGACGGAAGAGTTATTACATTGTCCCATCAAGAGCAAGAACTGCAGGATTTCCTTTTATCTCAGGTAGACTCATACACATTATTCTTCCCTTTCTTGTACTGTTTGAAAAACAGAAGAATCTCACCTTTATCTGTATAGAAAATATTTAAAAACTTCAAATAAAGATAGTGAAAATGAGAAGGTGGATTACTGAATTTTCACTATGTTTGTATAGTGACTTCAGCAACTGCTACTAAAATATAATGCCAGTTTTTACTAAGGTCAGTAGTAATAATGATTTTCCCCTCCCATTTAAAATACATTTCTTTATGCTGCTCATTATGGTAGAAGCAAGTCAGTGAGACTCAACAAACAGTAAGGTATCCTATATGTGAAACTTACTGTAACCACGTTCTTAATGAGCCTACAATTACTGTCATTTCAACATTGTCTGTTAGTGCTCACTTTGCATCAGTCATTACTAAATCAGCTGATATTTGAATGAACTGTATTTACTTAATTGCTTAGAACAAGCTGCTGGTTTTATTCAGAAGCAACAATCTCCCTACTATGCATTATAAATAGTCAAAATACAGGTCTTTAATAATAGTGGTTGGCCTGTTGCAGTTATATAAAACTCCACGACACAGAAAACAGGTTGAAACAGATTCTGCTGAGGGCATGTCTTTTTGGTCAAGTGTTGTCAGACTTGTTCACAGAGAACTGCTGAACAGTGCTAGATAGTTCCTTGTTACAAGTGTTAAGTCATAATACAGAAAAACAGTAGCATTTAAACTCCTAAGCTGTTAAAGCTCAGTGCTTACACTTGAGCATTAATGGAGATAATCATGGATACGAGAATCTCAACTTTTTTTTCTGAATTGTTTCTTCTGATACTTTTAAGATTTTTATATATTTTACAGCAGAAGTCTTGTTTTTATTCACAGACAGAATTGTTTAAAAATCCCGTTTGAATCCCTTGAATTAGTTTTTGAGACCTAAATACAGATATTTCTAAATTGAAAGCCATATTTAAATAAATTGCATAAACCCATATACCTATGAAAAATTCATCTAATTGAAAAATACAGTGGTCTCCTCTATCTGCAGAGGAAGTAGTCTAAATTCAAATAACACAAAGCTCTACCAGCATACATGTAAAAAATAAAAAAGTTCCTCTAAAAGTAGAGAACTTAAAATACAAAGTCACTTTTATAAATAACTATTGTATAGAAGAAAAAAAGGCTTGGTAAACCCAGTAAGCAGTTCTTCCTGTGGTGTGCAAATACTGAACAGAAGGCTAACCTCTTATTATCTTTCAGATGTCACAGCACCAAGTACATGCAGTTCAGCAGCTTGCAAAAGTTATGGGATGGCACGTGCTGAGTTTCAGTAATCATGTTGGTCTGGGGCCAGTGGAGAGTATTGGCAATGCATCAGCAATAACTGTAGCATCACCAAATGGAGACTATGCCATTTCAGGTAGTATTTCTATTGCAAATGCGTGCCAAGTCATAGAATTCTTAAGTGAGATCTACAGGCTTTACAAGTCTCTTTCTGAGATTTTTTTGTGGAGCATTTTGCTATAAATTGATACTATTCTATACAAGCGTACAGACTAATTCTTTTGTGTATGGAATTGACATCTGCATAGAATCAATACTTTCCTCAGGAATCCACTTAATATAAACTTGATTTAATTTACACAAGTTTGAAAATATTTCTGACAGCATAAAAACAAGAGATTACAGAAACCATCATGACCCTGAAGGAAGGGGAAAAGGTAAACAACAGGATCACAACTCTGGACTTAAGGAGAAGAGAGTTTGGTCTCTTCAGGGATCTTTGTGAAAGAATCTTACAGGATATGATCCTGTGGGATGGAAAGAAGAGGAGTTCAAGAGAGCTTTTTTTCAAGGATGACTTCTTTCAAGCTCAAGAATGGTCATACCTATGTTCTGGCAGTTTTGCAAAGGTGACAGAAAATCTGTGTGTATGAACAGGGAGCTCATGACTGAACTTATGACAATAGAAAAGAAGCTGCAAGAGATTATAAGCCTGACCAGTTGACCTGGGAGAGAGAGAGAGAGAGGCTGTCCAAGCATGCATTGGCAAGGATAGGAAAGCTAAGGTCCTGAGGGGTGTACAGGGCAACAAGAAGAGTTTGAGCAGGTACGACAGCAGCAAAGGGAAGATTAGGGAAAATGTGGGACTCCTTTCAAATGGGCAGAGGACCTGGTGGCATGGGACATGAAGAAGGCCAAGGTACTCAGTACCTTCTTTACTTTGGTCTTAAGACTGGCCTTTAGGAATGGGTCCATGAGACCCATGGGAAATTTTGGAGCAAAGACAGCCTCAGTAGCAGAGGAGCAAGGTAGAGAACCTTTGAACAAACTTAGACATTGACAAGTTCACGGGACCAGGTGGGATATATCCATGAGTGCTGAGGGAGCTGATTGATGTCATTTGTAAGGCCACTCCTGATCATCTTTAAAAGGCCGTGGTGATCAGGAAGGATTCCTGAGGACTGGAATAAGGTAGATGTCACATCCTATATTCAAGAAGGAGAATGTGGGGGAATTACAGTCTGATCAGTTTCATTGCATTACTGGGAAGATAAGGGGGGAAAAACTGGTCCCAGAAGTTTCCAAACATATTCCATAGAAGGTGGTGACTGAGAGTAATTGGCATCAATTTATGAAGGAGAAATTATGTTCAATCAGCCTTACACTCATCTGTAGAAGGCTGGCTTGGTAAATGAGGGGAAAGCTAAGTGTTGCCTCCCTAACTGCTATTTAAAAAGCCAACACACGCCACTACACAGCATCAAAACACAGAAGTGCATCCAACCAACAAAACACCACCAGCCCTCCACCAGTCTTGCAGAATTTTGAGATTAAAAACAACAACTATGCTAGTGACTTTGTCCCTGTCCATTTGAGATAAATGCACTAGAAACAATACATTTTTGCTCACATTTTTCAAAGAATAGTTGGAATACATGCAAGGAAAGAATAAGCATAATAACCTTTGCCCTTCCTGGTATCTTTAGGGAAAAAGAAATGTGGTTATAAGGTGTGTGTGGGGGGGTTTATCAAATGTATCTCTGGTTTAATCTAACCAGAATTAGATCCAGTTAAACAGTTAGTGCTAAAGCAACAAAATCGTAGAGAACTGGGAGATGAGAGAGAGAAAATTAAAAGAAAAAGCTTTTTTTAAAAAAAAAGAATTTTCTTTGTTTGCTTTCAGCATGCTTGGAATTGAGTAGGAGTAATGTATAGTATACACAAGAAAGAATATTTAATAGGAGGAATTCGTACAGTGTAAAAATGCTCGTTAAAATCTCTGTTCATTGCAGTACGTAACGGTCCGGAAAGTGGCAGCAAAGTTATGGTTCAGTTCCCACGGAGTCAGTGCAAGGATCTCCCAAAAGGCGATGTACTGCAAGACAGCAAGTGGAATCATCTCCGAGGGCCATTCAAGGAAGTTCAGTGGAATAAAATGGAAGGGCGTAACTTTGTGTATAAAATGGAACTGCTCATGGCTGCCCTAACTCCCTGCTAATGATGCGTCGGCCTCTCTGTGGGGGCTTTGAATAGTCTCTGTGCAACAATCACTGCCCCTGCAGCAAAGGGAAATGGAAGCTATGGGCCAACACAAGAAAGCAAAACCAAATTTATTTCCTGTACAGATATGTCCATTGTGGAGTTTGTAATAAAACTTTTTTCAATGGCATATAAAATACCTATAATTTTTTGAAAAAGTTCCACTCAGCTGTATCTTTGCTGATTGCTCTGTCCAGAGTAACATAACTGAGTAACTAACGTATTTTTTGTTTATAAAATTAAATTCAGTATTCCTTTTACTACATGAAAGGTGTCTGCTTGGAATCATTCCCTTTCCTCTCATGCCCTTATTTTTTTCAATAGATCTTTGCAAGTATTTTTGAAAGATTAAAAATATTAGAACTGAATTGGGCTCTCAGTGGGGCTTTTAGTGGTTTATACCACAGAACCTGGCTATCCCTGTGGATGCTAATGGCCTTGTTTGATGAGAAGTGGGACAACAGTAGAAGCAGAGCTCCTGTGTCAAGAATCGAAGCTAATCAATACTTAAAATCAAGGTAACATCTTCACTGTGTGGCATTCTTGAGTTGGATTGTTTGTACATTGATGGGGATTCTGGGTGACCCATTTATTTTTGAGAAATATATTTACTTGGCAGTTTGTTTAAGTTGAGAGTGTTACAAAGTCACAGCTTGTGTTTTCTGTCTCTCTTTTTTGCAAGAATATAGAGGAAAGGTCTTACTCTGCTTGCAAAATTCTGATAATTTGAGTTTGTGAGTGATTTGTGTAAATTAATGTCTGGATAGAAGGTGGTAACTCTCATGCAGTAAACCTTGGATCTCCACACGTGCTGCTGGGCTTTTATCCTGCACTCTCAATGATTATCGTCCAGGGAAACAATAATATCCTCCTGAATATCGGCTCTTTTGAGTTCTTTCAAAATAAAAAACGTCATGGTTTTGATGGTTTTGGTTTGGTAGTTGTAGCCTTGAAGCTTCTAGTAAGGTGTTAACAAAGCTTTTATTTTGTTTGGTACTTAATTGCTAAAGGTCTTTTTGAAACCTGTCTGTATGAACTGGTTCAGATTCATTTCCATGTTGTGTTATGAGGTGTGTGTATATATGTATATATATATGAGAATTTCTTGCACATAAACATGTTTGAATTGAACATCATACTTCTATGATGACAGTTATTATTTTGTTGTACTCTCAAGTAATAAAGAATAGTTTTGGCAAATACATACTAAGCAACTGCTTGTGGCAAGCTGCTGCTCAGTGTGTATCCAAAGCAGCTCTTGTAGTTCTCTTGATTTTTGCCAGCATGGAGCATCTTGTTTCAGTTCCTGGATGTACTGGCTTCTGTGTAACTAATCTGTGAGAGAGAAATGGTTTTCCTTTCAGGTTCTGATGAGTTGCCCAAGACAACTGATGAAAATGAAAAATATTAGTAGAAAATAGTCTCCTGATCTTCTTGAAAAATGGGTGAATCTTATTTAACACCCATCATGTCACGTCCTGTATTGCTGGGCTAATAGACACTGCACCACTACAGGCAGGGAGGGCTTTTGTTTCTTGGTGAACAGTTCAGCCAACAGCCTGATGCATCCAACTGTATGAGGCTGTTTTGACTCCTGCCAACACAACAGATCTTTCCTTACTAATAATTAGAAGATGAGTCTATGAAACTTGAACATGTCTTTACACTTCACTGTTGTTAACCTAAATTGACAGATCTGCATGTAGTGATAGCCTTTTCATTAGGTAAGTTCTTCATTACCATGTAATCAGATCACTACAGAGCTATTAGAATCTCATGGTTGCAGGACTTGTCCCCTGAAAAGAAATAACAGATGCAAGAGGACATCTAATGTGTTGTGGAAGTGCAAGCACTGCATGTTAGCAGTGAAAACATTTGTCAAGACTTCCACGTCTAGCTGAAAAAATAATAACAACAACAACAACAAAAGAATTCTTAGAGACCTGGAGCATCTGTATTTTAGTGTTGAATATATAGAGATTCCTAATTTTAATGGAAAACAGACTGATTAGGCCTCTAACAGAGGGACAGTCTTGAAAATTGGTAGTGCATCTTTGAATATGAGATGAAGACAGAGAATGATTAGGACCTTTACTACTGATTGCCAAAGCAATCTTGTGAACTTGAACATCTCTTTAATTAGTTTAAAAGTAAAATGCCTTAACCCGTTTGATCATCTAGAATGCTCTAAATGTTAAATTCGCTGGTGTTCTGCAGGGAGTTTACAAGAGGAGTAACAATAGCTATTAGTTTCTGAACTTCCACTGTAACAACTTGCCATGAGGCTTTAGATGCTCCAGGGTAGCAAGAAACTGCTATAGACAGCTTAGTCTCACCTTCTGTACATAAAATAATACTGGCATTAATAATGCATATTGACAAACATAATTTTCAGGAAAATGTTAATATTTTATAAGAGACCCTACATGTGTATGGTAAGCATGTTAAATTCTGGGTAAAATTTGTGAGTGAGGAATTGTCTATAAGGAAAGCTGTACGTAGGCTAACTGTACTGGATGTCATCAGTGAATGTTGAGTCCCTGTTGTTCATCTGGGATATTACTGCCTAAAAGCGAGGTTAGCACCACGGTCAACAGCCAAGAATAGGTGCCTGAAGTTGCAGTGACTTTGGCCAAGCTAAGAGAGGTAGAACAACTGTGCCAGGTGGAAACTTGTTACTGCTGTTGTAGTACATCTTAAACTGAAGAATTTTAAGTGGTCGTTTCCTACTTTCATCCTAGCTTTCAAATATTGTAGTTTACAAGTGTGCCTACAATCACAGCAATGCACTTGAATGATGGTCATTCATGTCTGGATGTGTTTCCTGACTTCCTTTGGCAATTGGAGTGTTCAGGGCAATGTTAGCAGATAATAATGGTGTTAAGTGCACGCTGCACTTTTTGTACTTTCTAAATAAGTCTGGCAGAGCACCTACTACATATTCAGTTCAGCCTAATAACTTCACATTCAAATTCTAAGATTTAGGGAATAAAAAAATATGGAATAGATAAACAGAAAAAAAACAATAATGTTTTCCATATGCTATAAGTATACTTCACCAAATACTTCAAGCTTGGTGATTGAAACAGATGCACTTAAAGAGTTTCTCTGTTGTCAAAGCTTAGTGCACTCAAAGATACTTTAGATTGGTAATACACATTTAAAACAGAAAATTAGAACAAACTGTCAGTCATCTGTGCTGTATCTGAGATCTTTAAAATTTAATTTCTTCCCTTTTTTGACCTGTTCTCCTAAATGCAGGAAAGAACAAACAGCTGAATCTAGTACCTGAATTTATGAGTGGGAGAGAGGCCCTCGTACTACAAATATCCAGTTCAATCTGGGGATGACTTAAAGGTATTGTGTACAGGGTGCTTTGGAAAAAAGCTTGTTTGACACCTACCTGCATCGTTTTTCACTTGGTGAGAAATTCTCTGAGTTTTTCCAAATGGAACCCATAGTACCTCTGCACCTGGTCATCCTAGTCCCTGACCAGAGGGGAAGCTCTGTCAGTCTGTCCTGTAAAAGGTTTTTGCAAACAAGTGAGACAAAGAGTGAGAGAGGTTGTAGGAACAGTTTGACTCAAACAGCCGCGTGGCAATCTACACGCACAGACTAGTCCACGGTCTCTTACATTTTCAAAGTTTATTTCACACTGCAAAATTCTCATTACAAAAGCAAAACAAAATAACTTGAAGCTTGGTCAGTTTACTGCTTTCTCACTGACAAACGCAAATGTTATGCCACCTGCAACAGATCTGCAGGTGGAGGATCGCATTAAGTGCAATATGCACATTCAAGAAAGTATTAGTTGGATCACTTCATGTTTTCTTTGAACATAGGGAAAGCAAAGGTGGCTTCTCAACAAGAGCAATTTCAGAACTGTATTTGTAAATACTAAATTTCAAAGTAATGCTGTTCTAACTTTTCTTCTCAGACTGTTTGTCGCTGGGCTAAGTTTGCAAAGGACTGGACATCTTTCACAACAAAACTGTTTAGTACTTTGCCACCTCACTGGTGCGGTGTATCAGTATTTTGTGACCCCTCATATCTTTGTAGACAGCGTCCTCTTTAGTGCCTGCACAGGCTTCCTTGTATAACCATCTGCTCTAGTAATGTCATAAAATGTGTGTTAATATCCATTCTGGGGCAGTGTAAACAATTGCAAACATAAGCGGGAGAACTTTGACCAGCTCGGCATTCTTTCCAAGTCAGTTTTGTCTTATGAAAAATTACAGTTTGTCTTCAGAGGTTCAGGAAGTTCCTTACACCTGAAAGTAGCAGCATAGCTGCAATAAACAGGATTCAATGCTTGCAATTAATTTTTAATGTAATACTGTAATTAGATATTAAATTTATTATGTTGAAGAATGCTAATGACCACTCTGTCTTAATAGGAGACTTGCTGTATCCAAAATACAGGTGTCCTTCAAGACTATGATAATTTCCTTTATGGGTTGGTCTTAGAGGCTTGGTTGCTTGGTTGGCTGGTTGTTTTTAAGAGTGGTAGAGGCTGTAGATTTCATTAGCCACAAAAACGTGTTCATGCTTAGCATGAAAGCATTCTCTTTTTTAATGTGACCTTGACTAGCAGAACCGAAAACTTAACAGGTCAAAACAGCTCCATCAGACACTGCTGATTTAATTGCAAGTCAGGATGTTTCTGCAGTAGTCACAAACATTTTACCTTCTAGGTTTGTTCTTGCTTTCTTGGTCAGTATTTTCTCCTGAGGTAGAATCGTTATTTTTGCTATGATACAGTCCTTGGCTAACACTCAATGGTTTCCAATTCAATCTCTTCCGTTGTACTTGCTGTAAATAAAAGCATATTGTTATTGATTGGCAAATGGATTGGAAGGCCAATGTTCCAAAATTATATGTGTTGTGCTAATAGCTGAGATATTTTGAAATTTTTAATATTAACTCAAGCCTGCTCATCTACAGTTAGGTTTTAAATACATCTTTTCAAAATATTTAGCTGCATAAAGAGGCCCTCACAATCTTTAAAGTGACACCGGTTTCTTCCAGTACAAGGCTAAAGGCATTATGAAAACCAAAGTCCACAGGGCCCATCCTTATACCTCTCTTCATAACTTCTGAAAGGAGGGCTCTTCTGAGCTGGAATTGGGGCAGAAGTTAGGTCCTTTCTTTGGACCACGTTCTGGGAGATGACACAACAAGTTTCTGGAACTGTGGTTTTCCTGAACTCTGCTGAATAACTGTATTCAATTCAGCTCTGTAGAAAGATTAGCTTTAACTGGAGGAAGAGGCTTTATCCCAACAAAAGCCTATATTTTCTGGCATGATAGGAAAATTTTCAGTAGCTACAGAACCTTGTGAATGGTGTGTGTACCATGAAAACAGCAGCAGCCCTTAAGAACTGTATGTGACTTACAGAAAGGAATAGGCAGCTCAAGCCAAATTAATTTCTTCTTTTATCAGGTTTTGCAGAGTTGACACAAAGTCTGGGCCATGAGGCTTAGGATGCTCGAGTATCTTTTGGTCTAGTAAAATCCTGATAGCTATGCTGCTTGTTGTAATGTAAAAGCTTAAGCAGCACTCATTAGAGAAGAAATACAGACCTATTACCTACAGGGCAAGAAACCACTAGTGGATCTGCACTTACAAAGTATGGAGGTAAACATCTGGAATGTTTTGAAGTTGTAAAGAAACCTCCCGTTCCAAGGATGCACCTAAAGAGCTTGATCCCAGGTCCATAGAGTGGTACCTTGTCTTGCTGCCTGGGCCAAATATCCCGGGCAGTGGCTTGGAAATTTCTTCTCTAGTATGTGAATGTTCCCTTCAGTGCAGCCCTCATGTTCCCTTGACCTGCTTTTCATGAGTGTTGTCTTCGGTGTGTGTCAGGAGTCTGGTTTTGATATTAGTCAGTGTTTGTTGCAGTCTGCAACAGGATCAAAGGTGAGGACAGATGAAGGGGGGTGTTGAGAGGAGTGGGAGAGGTGCAGTCCTTCATGAACTGAGGTGAGGGCCACTCCCAAGGGCTGTTTGATTATTTTCCCCTAGGACATACTCTTCCGGTGTGAACTCTGAAAGAATTGCTGATGCTCTTGACTTTGTCTCCTGCCCTCTGATAGGGGGGTTATTGCAGCTCTTGCCTTTTCTCCCCAGGTTTTGCAATCAGCAGTGTTGGTAAGTGTTTTATTATTTCTGATGTGAAGTGTATGAGGTAGATGTCCTGTGGCTTGTTCTGCAACTAAACACCTGTTATTCAGTTGCCTCAGCTAGTAAAGAGTTAGAACAGGATAACTGATTTTGAGCCCTTCAGTCTTATTTCTCAGTGTCCCTGTTTAGCACCCTTATGGCACAAATTTTAGGCTCAAACTTCAGACTTGAAACCCCTATACCTTGACTGCATTCTTAGAGAGATACCTGTGAGTTTGTGTGTCTTCTTCTGAAACAGATGCAGAGATTTATTACACAGCCACATGAAGCAGATCAGAATGGCAGAGACTGCAGCGAGAAAGGCAAAGAGAACTGCTACAAAATGTAAATCTTCATAGATAATTTCTGTAGGGAGAATGGAAAAAAAATAATATTATAAAATTGATTGCAAACAGATTGGTATTTAAACACAGGGTAAAGCCAAGAAGTCCCATCTAGTTTGTACCGTAAACATTGACTATGATGGTGCCGTAGGCGTTGTTTCCATACTCCTCTGTTACAGTGACAAAATAGTAGCCAGCATCTCGCATGCCCACGTTGTGAAGCTGTATAGAGCCATTTTCAAAAGTAGTCACTCTGTCCTTGTAGACTGTGGATATGTTGACATAATTCCCAATTTTCCACTCAACGATGCTGGTGGTGCCCCAACTTGACACATGCTTCCACTCAATGGTGGCAATGCCTCTGCAAGAGTATTCAACTGAGAGGAGGATGTTTTGTGCCACTGTTGCATTGATGTTGGGTTGTGGGACAACTAATGATACTCCTCCGGGAGCTGAAAGACAAAGGAGGGTGATGAGTGTGGAGGTGATGCTGCACCAACCATCCAGGGCAGGTTTGGACCTCTGGGTGTGATTCATCCTACCTATCTCAGTGGTCTGTTTTAAGAGAGGATAGATTACGCTTTGCAGTATCTCTTTATGCTGTCCGTAAAAGTAACATACATCCTTAAACACTAAATACACATTTGCAATTGGTGATAGCAAAAATGTTTCTACTATAGAGGATAAGTAATTGTGTGTGTTTAAATGTTTTCATACCCAAATCAAAAGGAACTTTGGAAGGGTGTTTTTGGATAAGGGAGCATAACATCTTCTGAAAACTGAGCAACACTTTTGTATTCATCGATAACTGGCTTTCTTTTAAAATCCTGCATTTAGATGGAAAGTTTAATTGTCATGTCCAAGGTAACCTATTAATTAATTACCATTCCCCAAAAGCAAGAACTGTAGTAGGCGTAAGTATGTGAAGACTCAGCAAGGACTTGGTCTTGTTTTCAGGATGTGTAATCAACATTTGAGACATGAGCTTCTTACAGGCAGCCAGTTATATGCCAGCACAGATAAACTGCATGTAATCAAAGGTATGCAGTTCCATGAGAAGCCAGGGACTTCATGTTCCTGATGATGTCCGGGCAAAAATGCACATTAAAGAATATTTAATTCTCATCTAGTTCCTCCTGATGTGATTACAGAGCTGTGAAACTGAACTGACCACTTAGTTTAATGTGTAACAGCAATAATTTCTGCTTGCATGTGGGTGTTTCTGCATGAAGATTTGGATGAACACCAACATCTGAGTTTCAACTGGCATACATTTTTTCTTTTTATTAGTGGCATGTTAGAGACATTTGGCTAGAGGCTGAAATCCTGTTATCTCTCCACAAAAATCAAAGCAGACAAAAGGCAGATAAAGCACAGAGTAAGGCTGAAAGCCTTTTCCTGGTTTGGCTTGGAGTAGCTCACTTACTCTCCTCTCTTGCTGTGGGAACAGCCTGACTGCAAGAGCAGAATGAAAAAGTAATGCTGACCTGCAAATGTCTGTAACCCAGTGAGGAGTGAGAATGAGACCCTTAGCTACACTGCAGGAGTGCAAAGCAGGACCCCTGGGGATGATCCTGGAGGTTCTGCAGAGTCCTCAGAGATAAGAATGATTAAAAAAGGCAAAGAAAAAAAATCTCCAAGGGAAAGAAATATATTTAAAAATCTTAAATTAAGAACCCTCCATGAGCAACCAGAAATGGAAGACATGGGTAAATTAATTACAAGCTGACTTCACTGTATTTGGGATATGTAGCAAAATTCACTAACTCTTCTGGTCAAGGTAAGGCAAGGAAGCTCGAGAAGCCATTTAGATTCCCAGGCCCTCACCTATGGGACCAGATAAGATCTAGGCTTTTCCCAAGATAACACTTTTGGGATTCTTCCTTCATGGGCTTTGTCATGATCATGCTGCCCAGTCGCTCTGCAGGAACATCATCACACTTTCTGGGCAGCCCAGTGCATCCTCTGCTGTTCAGCCTGTGTGCAGGAGAGACTAACCAGAGCTGTGAAAACAGGGTTTGTGCCAGCTACAGACACAGAACAGCCGGGAACCTCTGGTAATCGCTGCAAATTGTTCCAATTGTTTTCTGCTCCATGTGTTTATTTAAAGGCCTTTCCCACTGTTTCTGACCAGACAGGAGCTGAGTGTCTGCCCTCAGTGACTCTTTTGTTTTGATAGAGGCATCTTTCCATTGAATTATTTGCAAACGTGTTCTGTCCGTATCCAGCATGCAAAGCTACAAAAGGCAGTGCAATATTTAAGCATTCAAAAATATTTTTAATAGGCATTGTGCCTAGATCACCTGAACCGGTCTAATCCCAGCACAGCTGCACCAGGCCGGAGAGCAAACATCACACCCACCTGCAGGGCCCTTTGCATGCCGCTCTGCTCTGCTGCTTGCAAAACCAGACCCTTCACGCCCAGTAAAACATGCACCCAGGAGAAGAGGGCACCGGTGCTGCTCAGAGCACAGTGAGTTTGCTGTCCTGGCATGCTGCTCTGCTCCGAATTATTTGCCTGGCCGAGTGTCAAAGGGGCAAGTGTGGCTCTGCGTACCAGACTGGCCATAGCTGGGGAGTGGGTGGGAAAGGGCTGGCAGTGAGGGGCCTCCATGCAGGAGCTCTAAACTGGGGGGACAGCTCTAAAACAAAGCTCTGAAACCCTTGGGACAGTTCCTCCACCCTTTCGTGTCCTGTTTGTGCATCACATCTGATGATGGAGTGTTGTGGCATGTCCAAACCAAACTCTGGTGGCAAGGATATCCCAGTCCCCAGGGGTGGGTGGGGTTGGCAGCAGTCTCCTCCATCCCTAGCTGGAAGAGCGAGGATGGTTCTCTGAAAGTTGTCCCATCCCCACTCACCCATCCTGGGGCGCTGGGTTGGAACCCACCTTCTCTCCTCACCGCCGCGTTTCCCAGCGTGACCCGACGCCCTTCGGACTGGTTAACCGAGCTTGATTCCCCCTCCATGCCTTGTTCCCTCGGTTGCTGGAAAAGCAGGGGGCGAAGAGCGGCTGCCGGGGCCGCCCCCGCCGGGAGCGGGCGGGGGGCGCGTCTCCCCCGCGGCCACGGCTCCCGCCCGGGCGGCCGGCCTGCAGCCCCAGGCCGGCCCCGCTCGGCTCCCCAGCTCCCTCCGAGCAGCAGGAGAGGGGACGAGCCTCCCCAGACCATGTACAGCCCGCAGAGAGTAGCGATGCCTGCCTGAGTCCCGGTATGTCCCGTCCCCAGCAGCTCCCGGGAGCACGGCCGGGTCGGGAACAGCGCTGGCCGCGGGCGGGTGCGGCAGGCGCTCTGCACCGCCCCGAACAGGTGCCGGGCGCTGGGGCTGAGCTAGGGTATCGCGGCGAGGAGGAGGAAAGGAGTGGGGGAGGAAGCGGGGGGAGACAGGGACGGAGTCGGACACTTACTCTGCAGAGCCCACCCGGCGGCCAGGCAGAGGGTGACGGTCCCCACGACGACGCCCCGTCCGCGGCAGCCCTGCAGCGGTCTCATCAGCGAGAAGCCGATGCCCCAGGGGTGGCATTTAAGTGTCTGGGCCGGCCGGCGCGGCCCGCCCCCGGGGGTTGCCTGCCCCAGGCCTCTCCCTCGCTTTCCCTTCCACTTCTTCCTCCCCCTCCCGCCGCGGCGCCGGGGCTGCTCCCAGCTCCCCCCCGCACCGGCCCCAGGGCGCTCCCCCGCCTCACGCCCCGCGATCCTCCGATCCGCGCTGGAGATGCAATTGGTTGAGGAAGGGAAGGCACTGCCCGGCCGCCGGCCGTCGCCCAGCCGGGAAATGAGATTGGGCGGCCGCGGAGCCGCGCAGCCCTGCCCGGCCCTGACGCTACCCGCCGGAGCTGGGAGCCGAGAGCCGAGCCCGCGGTCGGGACACCCGGCCGAGGAGGCTGCTTTTAGGTATGACTGTGCATCTGCGCGGGAAATTTCTCTTCGAGGTGTTAAAACTAACTTTATTGCCCTGAAGAGCCTGGTGATCTTGCAGGGAAGACGGTGGGACTGGGCATCAGCATCTCCACCTCCAGGAGTCATCTTTGATGACCACGCTGGAAAATAAGACTCGTTCCCATCCCATCGTACCCAGCACATGTGCAGGTGCTCTCTCTTCCTTCATTGTCGTCAGGCGAAGGTTCCCAGACTCCCTTGTTCTTCTTTCAGAAAAGCACAGGACAGTGTGAGTTAGTGGGAAGCGTGATTAGAAAACGTGAGAGTGTCCCAATCCTGAAATTCATCCTTGCTCAGAGGCAGCCTTATATATGGCTGCCAGAAGCCATATACATCCCCAGGAGAGCCGCTCCTCTGACCAGGGAGTTACACACCAGAACGGCCCTTTTGCAGGTCTTCCATCCTCCTCTTCCTCACATTTCCTTTTCCTCAAGTTCTCTTTCTTAGATTGTGGGTGAAAGAGACACACTTCAGTGTGCTGGTCAGCCATGGCTCCTCAGGGCGGGTGGGAGAAAAGGTCAATCCCCCAGGTGAAGAGGTACAGCTGGGATCTGCCAGAGCTCTCTGTGCTGGGCAGTCACATCTCCTGCTGCACTGTATGGACTAGTTTAGGTTTCCCTGGTACTGGTTGTCTGTGAGGATGACAGGTGAGTCCCATGGGGGTCTGGGTGGCTGAAGCACAGCTCTTGGCAGGGGGCTGAGCAGGAGTAGGGCTGGGCTTGCACAGGGATCAGCTGTGGGGGACCCGCTCCCACTGGGGCTTTCCAAGTGTGATGCTGTCATGTGCAGCCAGGTGAAAACCTCCCTATGGCATTACAGCTTCCTTCTTGCACACCTTAAAGGAGACTTCTAGGACTTAAGTGAGGGTGCAATCTACATGGCCTCCAGGGCCCAGATTTTATTCAGGTGCAATAAAATCTCCAGCTTCCCCAAATTTTGGTGTCTCCCTTGAAGCTTCAGCAATACAAGTCAGATAAAGGGACTGGGGGAGAGAGGCCAGTGAGGACGTACTGCTCAAATATATAATCTCACATAGGTTTTTCAGCCTGCCATGGTGCTGGGGTTGCACGGAAGTGCATTTGCACTTAATCTTCAGAGGCAGGCTATGGATTGCTTACCTTCCACCCCATCTGGCATCAAGCAAAGCATCGCCAGCCAGTTGAAGGAGGTGATTGTCCCGCTCTGCTCCACACTTGTGTGGCCTCACCTTGAATATGGTGTGCAGTTTTAGTCACTGCAATATAAGAAAGATATCAAGCTATTGGAGAGCGTCCAAAGGAGGGCAGTGAAGATGGTGAAGGGCCTTGAGGGGAAGCTGTATGCGGAGCTGCTGAGGGCACTTGGTCTGTTCAGCCTGGAGGAGAGTGAAGGGAGACCTCATTGCAGCCTACGACTTCCTTGTGAGGGGATGAAGAAGGGCAGACACTGATCTCTTCTCTGTGCTGACCAAAAGCAAGACCCGAGGGAATGGCTTGAAGTTCTGTCAGGAGAGGTATAGTTTGGATATTAAAAAAAGGTTCTTCACCCAGAGAGTGGTTGGGTGCTGGAATAGGCTCCCTGAGGAAGTGGTCACAGCACCACGCCCGCCAGAGACCAAGAAGCGTTTGAAGAAGCTTCTGTGATCTGTCTGAGCTGCTCCTGTGCTTTGCCAAATCCCCTCTGCTTCATCAGGCCAACATCATGCCCAGGTGTCACTGCTGAGAATTAAGAAGTGTGTAGCCCTTCCCCTGGAAGAGATTCCCACTGGCAAAGCTTCTTCCTGATCCCATCACTTTATGGAAGTGCTTCAAAGCATTAAATAAGGTCTCGTGGTGATGTGACTTAATGTGATTTTCCTTTTTCATTTCTTTCAACCTCTATTTAAATTATTTTTGAGCTTTTGGCCCAGTGACCTATTTTGGCAGCACAACATATGAGGCATCTGCTCATATAAAATGAATTGAACTTCACCTATTTGAAATGTATCAAACTGGTTGCATGGATTTAATCCACCCTATTGGAAAGACAGATGTGAGTCATGAAATTGAAATCTGCATCTGGAGCTCTTCTCAAACGTTGAATTTTGGCTCTGCAGTATAGGTCAAATGTTCAGTCCTGGGATAAGAAATGAGTGTTTGTGTTTGGCATCAATAATTACCAGCAAAGAGCTTTTAGATTCCTTCTTTTTAAAAGGAAAACTATAAAATATCTAGAGGTTGGTTTTTTCCAAGATAAACTGCACATCAAGAAATACAGTGACATTACAAAATGCCCAGCATTTAATCAAGCTATTATAAACCATATTTATTTGAAAGCTGGCTGGTTCCTTTCTCCTTGACAGTCCATTGGAAACAGTGCTCCTTTCCTCTGTGGTGCAAACATTCCCTCTGAAAGGGATAAGGCTTCTCTTAAACAGAAATACACCGTTTCACCGTGTGAAATGGTGGCAATGGGTGAGTGCTTTGGGCAGGGTGTGAGCCCAGTGGCGGGGAAGCGGAGCAGCGGAGGGCAGGGGGTATTTTCAGGGCAGGCTTCTTGCTAGCAGCCTGTGGAGGAGTGTGGCCATAACAAGCTGCACCGTGGGGGCTGATGCTGGGAACCACGAGGTGCAGCCCCATCAACAAGTGACTACAGAGAGAATCACTTGGCTTCAAGGAATCAGAATCATTTAGGTTGGAAGAAATCTCTGAGTTCATCGAGCTTGACTGTTATCCCAGCACTGCCAAGTCCACCACTAAACTGAACATGTCCCTAAACACCACATCTACAGTCTTTTAAATACCTGCAGAGATGGTGACTCCACCATTTTCCCGGGCAGCCTGTTCCAAAGCTTGACAACCCTTTCGGAGAAGCAATTTTTGCTAATATCCAGTCTAGACCTCCCCTGGCACAACCTGAGGTCATTTTGTCTTGTACTGATGATAGCTGTATAATTGATTAGCAGCCAATCTAAGTTTGATGCTTGACCCCTCTGAGTTCCCTCAGCCTCTGCCTGCCTCTCAGCACCCCCAATGCAATGGGGGATGAGCCTCAGCAAGTATCTCCTGCTGTTGGGATGGAATATGAAGAGGATGTGCTGTGGATAAGCTGGTGTGTAGGTCGTGGGCTTTGGTGCTTGGGCATCAGTGCAAGGCTTCAGCAATGGAGCTGTTTCTGCCAGGTGAGAGCAAAGGCATGCATCCTGCCTGACTCTTCTGCGGGATTGCTAATTTGGTAGCTAACTCAGGGTAACTTTACAGGAAGGCCAGATTAGAGTGTTATTCCTGATTTTACTTACCTTAGCATATTCATGATGTATTTTCCTAACAAAGCTTTTTATTAAAGTCCTGTCCAACCACACCCAGATGAGGCTAATGATATGCCACTCCTGGTTATAGATGTTTCATCCATTAGTGCTGCTCTACTGGTTTTACTTTTCTCCGCTTGTCAAACAGCAGTTCCAGGAAACAAGGACATATCATGCAATACAATACAGACTGTAATAGATGAGTTTTTCTTTGTTTATTACCAAGTGGCCTTAAACTAGCAGGCTCTGGCAATGATTTACAAGGCTTGTAAGAGATTTGGCTCACAATCCCTGCACTGCTATAGATATCTGCAGATTTTATTGCTATATGCTCAGTATTTTAAGTTTCCTTTCCCCTTCCCTTTGCTTATTTCCATTATTTTAAGCATTTTTTCCTTCCTTCTTGCTGGAAGATGTCAGATGACAGTCTCTCAACTTTGTGTGGAAGGCCTGATTTCTTTTTCTGGTGTCATTAATAATGGAACAAAACCACATTAACAATTACAACAACAGCCAGATAGGAGCCAGAAAGCTCCTTTTGCTCTCTAATATGCTGCATAAGTAGTCTGAAGTGCTTTATACAGAGGGCTTGCTTTTTTTTTCCCTCACCCTTTTGCATTCATATCTTTTTTCTACTTGACAAAATGCTTGACCTTGTCTTTGTCTGCTTGACCAATGTCTGAAGAAAATATAAAAAACACCACAGTTAAAAATTCAAAGAGATTACAGACAGGAAATAGCCCTTTAGAGGTAATTTCATCCTGCAACAAACCATGGGAAAAAACTGAGCAAAGAAATGTTAGCAGGGGCTGCAGGACATTGTATCTGCAGGGTCAGAGGGCTCCAGAGGCTG